GAAGAGCAGTCAGTGCTCTTAACCTCTGAGCCATTTCTCCAGCACCAGGTATGGTGATGCATACCTTTTTTTTTTCCTTCGTATTCTTGTTCTTAGCTACTCTGTCAGATTTGAGCTATCATGCAGTTGCAGTACAAGTTCCTCAGAAGTATGGTTGAGAATGTTAAGGTGGCTTGTCTTTTTGCATGTGTGGAACATATGGTCACTTTGTTACTATTTATTGATGTAATCTATGGGCTGTCTCTTCACTTCCAGGCCGTCACTCAAAGGGGGTAGCAAAGACAGTAACAAAGCAAAGAGTGGAGTCCCATTTTGACCTTGAGCTTAGGGCAGCTGTGATGCACGATATTCTGGACATGATGCCTGAAGGCATCAAACAGAATAAGGCCCGAACAATTCTGCAGCACCTCAGTGAAGCCTGGCGCTGCTGGAAGGCCAACATTCCCTGGAAGGTAGGCTTTCCTCTGCCTCCAAGAAGACATAGCCATTCATCTTCCTGAGGTTAGGATTAGAGTACCTTTAGAGGGCCTTCCACCTTCTATTACCCCAACCCCTCCTTTCTTGAGGTGGTTTCACTGTGTTGTCCTGGCTGACCTGTAACTCTGCAGGCCAGGGTGCTCTCAAATTCAAGAGATCTGTCTGCCTTTATGCTGGGACATGGGCGTGAAACTTACTTTTTCATTGTGTTTGTATTTTCAGGTCCCAGGCCTGCCAACACCTATAGAGAATATGATTCTTCGGTATGTTAAGGCCAAGGCTGATTGGTGGACCAATACTGCTCACTACAACCGTGAACGAATCCGCCGTGGGGCCACTGTAGACAAGACTGTTTGCAAAAAGAACCTGGGCCGCCTCACCCGCCTGTACCTGAAGGCAGAACAGGAACGGCAGCACAATTACCTGAAGGTTGGACCAGCTGGGCTGGGTGGTAAAGTGGGTTGCAGAGTGGAGATCATGCTTTGTATTGGTTTGGATGATAGTGGGAGACTAGCTTCATTCATGTTCACCTTGCAGGATGGGCCTTACATTACAGCAGAAGAAGCAGTGGCTGTGTATACTACCACTGTGCATTGGTTGGAAAGCCGTAGATTCTCTCCCATCCCATTCCCTCCACTCTCCTACAAGCATGACACCAAGTTGCTCATCCTAGCTCTGGAACGCCTCAAGGAAGCTTATAGGTAAGGAATGACTGGGAGGGTAATAGGGAATGGCATTGTGGCCCGAGTCCAAAGAAAGGTGTAGTCCTTTTGCAACTTCTTGGGTTTTCTCATTCACCTTTCCTTTGCTTTGTTAGTGTGAAGTCTAGGTTAAACCAGTCTCAGAGGGAAGAGCTGGGTCTGATCGAGCAAGCCTATGACAACCCCCATGAGGCTTTGTCCCGCATCAAGCGTCACCTCCTCACGCAGAGAGCCTTTAAGGAAGTGAGTGATGCTCCCTGAGCCTTTTGGTCTGTGCTATTTATCCTTGGCATCTAGAGGATGCCAGGCTGGCTGGTGAATTGATGTGAACCAGGTTTCTTGTCCCACAGGTAGGCATTGAGTTTATGGATCTCTATAGCCACCTGGTGCCAGTGTATGACGTGGAGCCCCTGGAGAAAATAACTGATGCCTACCTGGACCAATACCTGTGGTATGAAGCAGATAAGCGCCGTCTTTTCCCACCCTGGATCAAGCCTGCCGACACGGAGCCGCCTCCACTGCTCGTTTACAAGTGGTGCCAAGGTAAACTTCGCTGCAGTTCCCACCCAGCAGAGAAAGGTGATTCTGTCCATGTAAAAACTCTGACCCAGGCTGCACATTCAGTTTGCTCTCTTTGCGTGGTAAGAATGAGTGCTATTGCCTGGCACTGGTGGCACACACCTACAATCCCAGCTTACAGGAGGCTGAGGCAGGCAGATTGATGAGATCAAGGCCAGCCTGGTCTACAAAGCAAGTTCCAGGACAGCCAGAGC